GCGGGGGGGGGGGACCGACAGAAGCCGCCGGCTGGTGGTCCTCCAGCTGGCACCGCGGCCGCTTGGTAGGAGCAGCTCAGGCCTTCTGGCTGCCCCTCGGAGACGCGTTCAGGCAGAATAAAATTCCAGTGCCAGAAAGATGGGTGGAAGGCCAGGGAGGGCAGGGGTGCAACAGGCAACCTCCGGACAGGGCGTCATGTGCCCCCAAAGGGAGCCTGGCGATCTGCTAACTGCCCACCTGCTTTGGAGGCCTTCAAGAGGAAGAAAAGTGAGAAGCAGCCAGCCCGGCGGCCTGAGACTGGCTGACCCCCCCTCCACCCCTGTGACCTGCTCTGTTGCTCGGGCCTCTCCTGGGGCCGGGCAAGAAACCCGTCCTTGGGTGCAGCCCCCCCCGCCCCCCATGGGCTTGGGGTGAAGCCCTCTGTGCTCCCACTGGTTAAAAGCCCCCCAGCGCCAGAGGGGAGCCGGCTGCCCGGACAGCGGGGGCGGGTGGCAGAGGTGCGGTGGCTTTCCCTCCTCCCCCCCCCGGCCTTGCGTACCAGCCGAACCGGCTGTGCGCCTGACTGCGAGCAGGCTCTCCAGGGCCGGCACACGCCGACGAAGGACTGAGGAGTGGTTGCGGGAAAGAATGTGTAGCAGGCATGTCTGAGCTGCGGCGGGCGACTGGCCCGCTTCTGCCCCGCTGTCTGCCCGTCTTCCTCGGAAATCCCTGGGCCTGCCGGGCTTTGTTCTGCCGCTCCTCCCCCCGGCTTTGGCAGCCGCTTCCCTCCCGAGGAGCCCTTTCCCACCTCCCGCCTCCCCTTGGGGCAGAGCTCGGGGGTCGCAGGCGGTGAAGCTCGGGAAGGATGGGGGGCGCCGGCTCCCCCCCTCCCAGGCGGCCGCAGTCGAGGGCTACAGGGAAGCCTCCTGGGAGCCGGCTCAGCGCCCGCAGAATCACACCCGGCCGTGAGAACAGGGCAGGCGCAGCCGGAGCTCCGGGCGAGGGCGCGCCCCGTGCTGAGAGACCTGGCTGGTTCGACAGGCTCCCTCCCTTCGCCGGGTTCCTGGGAGTCGCTCCGGAGGCGGCGGTGGCGGCGGGTGGGGGTGGAGGGGCTCCCGGAGCTCATTCCTGGCTCTGGGCTGCTCCCCCCTTAAAGAAGGACCCGGCAGACCGGACGACGCAAGGCAGCGCAAACACGGGGGGGGGCAGGGACCCTTTCAGCGGGGAGAGAGGCCAAGCGAGTTCAGGATTCTTGTATTCAGTTCGAGCTTGGGGAGGGCCAGTTTTTATTGAGGTCGTCCAGCCAGAGTCCGAGATTAGGGCTTGAGCAGCTTTATAAATCCTGTAAACAAACAGAGATTCTATTTTGGGCAGGAAAACCCGAAGACAAGATTATAAAGTGGAAAGTCTCCAGGTGACTTTCTTGGCAACCAAACCTTGGACCATCAACTGCATCAGTAACTGCTGTGGTCACTAAGTTGAAAATCATGTGATAGGCTTACAACGTCTCTGCTCATTTGACCATCAAAAGACTCATTGTGTTGGCTAAGTCACACATCGCTTGACTGCAACTTACAGTTTTCCTTTCATCTTCTCCTGAACTCTGCCCGTCAGAAGCTGGTTGGCAAGCACGCAAATGGTGGTCACATGACTTCAAATGATCCCTAAACAAGGCAGTTGGGAAGTAAGGACTTCTGCACCGAAAAGCAGAATTTGCGAAGCACAGCAAAGGAAAATAATAATAATAATAGTAATAATAAAACAGGGTGTCTTGGTGGGTCACCTGATCCAGAAGGGTGATCAAAGGGAATCCCTGGTGGCATCTACAGAAGTCAAGTCATTGTTGCTCTCTATTCTCCTGAGTCTGAACACACCTCAGTTGTTGCACCAGTTCTGGCCAACACAACTGAGGCACTGAAGCGTGACCAGATTACAGCCCCCCCTAGGGTGAGTGACGAAGGGCTGGAGAGGATGGGCTGGGGAGCCCAGGGGAAATGAGGCCCAGCCCTTCTCTCCTAGGCCCTCCAGAGCCTCACAGAGGAGGCAGGTGGGATGCTCCCACAAGGCGAGACAAGACACAACAGGTTCAAAAGGGAAGGAAGTAGATTTCCATTGTCACCAAGAATGCTCTAATCCTAAGGAGTTTGCTGGAGGTGCTTAAATAGAAGCTGCTCGTCTGTTGGGGAGGCAATAGCAGTGGACTCCTGCACTGGGCATGGGTTGGGCTAGATGACCTCAAAAGTCCTTTGAAACCCTTCCCTTTTCTAATTCCAGGGGTGTCCAGGCAGGAAAGGGGGGCAGGGCTCTGCTGCAGGGCCGAGCTCTTCTGCACCCCAACTTTGAGCCGTGAGCTGCAGATCAAGATTTTACCCAAGATGGCCCCCCTCTCCCCCTGCTGCATTGGTGCCAGCAGCAGAATCCACTGGGGAGGGGAGCAGGGGGGGACTGTGCTGAAAGCGGCCAGAGGGTCTGTGGAGGAAGGCCCAGGCTGACAGCCAAGGGCCTGTTCCCATTCCTGGCACAGGGGATGGGGTGGGACGCTACTGCCCAGCCTCTGCTCCCAATTACTGGAGGGCTGTGCCAGCCTTTGGCCCTCTTAGCCCAGGACAGCCCAGCAGCCAAATTCTGGTGCCCGAGGGTCCCCAGGCCGAGGTGTGACACTTGGTGGGAGGCCCTGAGAAGTACATCAGGCCACGCAGGGACCCCTCGGGCACCAGGGCGGAGGCCACTCTCTCCTCAGGCCCCAAAGCTGAGAGCTTCCAAAGCCCCCCCAAATCAGTGGATGTCAGCTGGCATCAATAAAGCTCCATTTAGTGTGCCCAAGAGTAGAAGCTGGAGGCCCCCGATGATGGCAGGTAAATGGCACATGGCAAAGTGCTGGCAGAGGTGCCAGGCAAGGCCAGAGTTGGGAACGGGCTCCCTTTGCTCCAGCTGCTGCCCTCTGCGATCCCCAGGAAAAGAAGCAAGTTGCAGCACATGTTGCAAAGTCTGGGCAATGGTGAGCCAGCCTCTCCTTCCCCCCTTCCCCCTCCCCGGTTTGGCTCATTTGATCCCAACAAGGTAAACAGAGAAGGTGATGCAACTCACATGAACTGACATGAAAAGCTGGGGCAGAACTGCAAATATTTGCCTTCTCCACCCAAGGGCATTCTGGGATAAGGTGGGGAGTTTTTTCTCTGAAATGACCCTCCACTGCCCTGGTCAGGGTGTGGCCAAGCCTGGCCTCGGCTCTGGAATTTCCTGGTGGTGTCCCATCCAAGTCCTAAGCCTCTGCTTAGCCTTTTGTGAGCAGCTGCAGCCACCTTCTCCAAGGCAACGTACTCGGGCCAAACCTCCTGGCTGAGGTTCTGCCGCCAAAGGACGTCTCTCCTGCTGGCTCCTGCCTTCAGCAAGCAAACAAGGATGGGGAGCCTGCAGCCCATAAGGTCCTTTTCAAGCAAGACCCCCGTCTGCCGCCCCAGAGAGCCCCCCCATCTCCCCCAAAGTCTGCAGGCTGAAATCCATTCCGATCTCTGCTTTCGGCTGTGCAACTTTTATTTTTAAAGTGGAGGTGAAAGTGGTTTAAAACTTTCATGAAGTTTAACGTACCTATCTGACCCACCTCTGCCTTGCCAACAGGGCTAAACGCCGGGCTTGCAAATGCCTCCATTTCTAATGCATTGCCTGGAATCCGCCTTTCAGCCCTTCAACCTACTTGAGGTGGAGCTGCCGGCAGGCGCGGTGGAGGGGGCTGAGCACCCTCAATCACAAACTAGCTGGCAGCTGAGCCAGCCGTGTGATGCAGCTGTTAAACAGGCAAAGGCAATCCTGGACTCTGTTCCCTGCAGCGTAGACTGTCAATCACAGGTAGTAACTGCCCCCCTTTTGTCCGCCTGATCAGACTCCCCCCCCCCTTTTAGGTTCCAAGGAGCTCTATCAAGAGAGCCATCCGGGGTCTGGACACCAGGCTCTCCCTGCTGCTTTCCCAGGTGGCAAGGCAGTGCCCACCTCAAAGGACCCCAGGGGTGAATGAGGCGCTTTTGTCTGCCCTGCCCATTGCCCTGGGGCTGCTGTTGTCCACTCTCTCCAGGCCAAGCGGGCCTTTACCTGCCTAGACTGACCATTCTGACTGGAGGAGAGGGGCTTCACTGGCTTGACAACCGTTCTCCTGGCCCTCCTCCCCAGCATTTTCGGTTTCACCTGGGGTCCGGGCCTCTTGGCTCACTCCTAAGTTTCCAGGGCCCTCAATGGCCGAGGGGGTCTGCAGGTTTAGCCAGCTCTTTGCTGCCACCACCACCCCCCAGTCCAGACCACTTATGAAGGGGCTGAAAGGGCTTCTCCCTCCAGGGCTCCAAAGCCCAGCAACACTGGCCTGGATCGCTCCCACTCCTCTGCCCTTGACTCCCTCTTAAAAGGGGTCATCCTGCCCCCCCCCCCCGTCCATCTCAGCCATCTCCCTTGGGAGCGAGACCTTCATTGAATGCTTAAGGGAGGGCTTCTCCTGTGGTCTCCCCCCCCTTGGGCTTCCTGAGAAAGTTGGGGCTGAGAGCCGGTCCCATCTTCTCCCCCAGGGCAGAAGCGAAGCTGCTCCTCTGGGAGATCCAGACTCTCTGCCAGGATCTCCCTCCCCTCTCCCCCCACCCCCACCGTTTCCCTGCCTGGGTTTCAGCTTCCAGTGGCTTAAAGTGCATTTGCTGCACACTCCTCCCCTCCCCCCATCGCCTGGAGGAATTCATTGGGGGGGGGAGATGTGGAGGGGCTGGCTGTGCTTGGAAACACTGGACACCTGCCAAGAGGTCACCCACCAGCCCAGGCCACCGCAGCCCCTGCCAACCCCAGCTCTTTCCCTGGCTGCTCCATGAGGCCGGAGGGAAGGCAGCCGGTCCCTCCTGACCCCATGGCCCTTCCCCAGGCAGCCCACCTGAGCACCCTCTGTGCAGGAGGGCAGCCGGAACATGGCCTGCTGGCTGCCTCTGGCAGGCCAGTTAATGCGCCCCTGGGTCCCAGCCCCCCCCCCCAGTGCACACACAGGCGGTGGGGATTATAGGAAGCCTTGTCTTTATTGCTCCTGGTGCTGCGTCTGGCCCCGGGATTCAGCCGGGCTGCTGCCTGCCTGCAGTGGGACGGTGCTCAGTCAGGGCAAGATGCCATTCGTTCCAAAATCTGTCCCAGGCCCACTGAGGCTACACCTGAGGCCTCGGCTAGCTGGGCAGCTGGCTAGTGAGAGCACCAAAAAGTGCCCCCCCCCAAGGTGGTCTTGCTCCAAAAGAGCCTTGGCTGCATCGCCTGGGAGGGCTGTGCGGAGCCGGGAGAGGGATGCTTGTGGGGAAAGGTGGGGCGGCCTGCCCAACCTCCCAGGGACTGGGGTGCCAGTGGGCGGCTGCCCAGATCTCTCCGCTGCTGCTCCCAGGGCCCAGAGAGGAGGGCGGTGCTACAGCCGTCAGGGTGCAGGGACGTCACTCCGGGCAGCTGCTCTTCTGGGGTGACCTGAGCAGAAGCAGAGAGAACATCCCACAAACAGGCCCAGCCCTTCGCGGGGGCAACCGTGGCCGAACAGCCCTCCCAAGCGAGGCTGCCAAACCCGAGTGCCTGGGATGGTTGCAGCAATCCCCAGCCACGCTGGGGTGCAAGGGCTGGCCTGCCTCTCAGCCGGGAGGCAAGAGTTCAGCCCCACACTCACCTGAGGGCTCAGCGTCCGGCCCAGCTGCTCCAGGGGCAAAGGCCAACCCAGCCCCCCCAGCAGGACTGCAGGAGTGGAGGCCCCGATGATCCCCCGAGTGTGTCCAGCGCAGCAAAGCCTGGAAGGAGAGAGAGGAGACGCCGGCTGCAGGACTGCCAGAGGCGCCTGGGGGGTGGGCAGTGGGAAGCACCCGTGGCAAGGACTCTGCTCTCCCCCAACCAGCTCACCTTCCTCGGGACGGGGCTGCTGGGCGCAGAGGCGCTGCTGTACTGGCTGAGGCTGGAGGTGGAGCAGCAGGGGGAGAGCATCTTGGAGGCAGGGGCAGATTGGCTGCCTGCCCCCTTCCGCCCTAGGAGTCCCGGGGAGAGGTATCTTTCATTGATCTTCAGGTTGGTCCTTCCCTTGACTACGTGAGAGAAAGCCAATGAGATGCCGGGTCCAGCCAGATGGGGAGGCTGGGGGAGGGGAGGGGGAGGCAGCCGGACACCCATCCTGCTTGGCCTGCTTGGTGGGGTTCTGGCACCCGCCCAGCCTCTCACCTCTGCAGGGGTCGTTCTTCACCAGGAATTCGTCCAGAGCTGTCCAGCCTCCTCCGACTCGCACCATCAGGGTACTTCTCAGGATTCGAACCATGCGCAGCTGCTGGCACTCCCCAAACTGGAGAAGCAGCAGGAAGGGGCTGTTTGCTGGAGGCCAATTCTGGGGTCCCCGTGTGGGGAGAAGCTTCCCTCTCAGTCCCACCATCCTCAGGGCAGAGGCACACAGTCCTGCAGTGTTGCTGCCCCATTCGTGGATGCGGAGAGCAAGGCTGGCGTGAGAAATGAGTGCCAGAAGAGGCCCGGGCAGAGAGTCAGTGGGCCAGGACCTCTTCTGCACCGTGGCCAGCTTAGACACCCTGACTCTGGAAGCTGACGTGGGTCCCCGGCTTAACAGGGAGGACCAAGAGACTCGGGGTGCAGGGGGACACAGGCTGAGAAATCTGGGGGGGACTTAGGACTTGGAGAAAATATTATAAAAGTGATTTTAAAGTTCCATTATGGGCCATACCTTGGCATGCGATAGAAGGAATAAAAAGAGGTGTAAAAATGGATATGGTGTCTTATAGTCAGCTACTTAGATGGGATGGGCAAAACTGGCAGTTAAGATTACGGGAAGATTTAGCGCAAGAAAATATTATTTATTCTTGGTTCCAATATAGGCAACTAGTAGATAAATGGAAGGTGGATTGTAAATTGGGTTTTCTTAGAGAAGATGGAAATCTTATTAAGCAAGTCAAGGATCAAAGACAAACCCACATCAAGAGAATCTACGGGGTATTAGTTGAAATGGACTCAGAAACGGAATTAATTAAAGACTGCATGATTAGATGGGCGCAGAATTTTGGTGTCCCAGTCTCATTGGACATCTGGGAAACCATTTGGGTGAGAAATGTCAAATTTACACAAGCACAGAACCTTAGGGAGAATTTTTATAAAATGTTTTATAGATGGCACCTTGATCCACAAAAAATGTCTCTTATGTACCCTGACGTACAACCCAAATGTTGGAGATGTGGTTATACGGATGCTTCCTATTATCATATTTGGTGGTCATGCAGAGAGATAAAAGCATTTTGGATTAAAATATGGTGGAATATCCAGAGAATTTTTAGAAGGAGGGTAAAATTTACTCCGCAATTATTTTTGTTGGGCATTGTTACAGATTGTGATACAAAGGAGGTTGTATTGATGTTAAATTTGATTACAGCCGCGAGGCTGTTAGTTGGACAATATTGGAAGAAGGAATCTTTGCCTACACTGCAGGAATGGTTTCTTAAAGTGTCCTATTTGGCGGAAATGGCAAAGATTTCGGCTTTCTTAAAGCAACAAACGCAAGAGAAGTTTCTTGCCGTTTGGGACAAATGGATAAAATTTATACAATTTAGACTGGGTATAAAAAAATATCACATAGTTTTTTCATAAGTTTTATTTTTATATATAGAGAATGTTATATATAGATATTTTTTTATATATATAAATATAAATTTTTTAATTTAATTTTTATCTTTATTTGTTAATTTTTCACTAAGCCTATATTCTGCTCTGGGAAGCTCAGGGGGGGGAAGGGAGGGTGTTTGTGAGGGGTGGGGGATGGGTTTTTTTTTTATATGTAATGTTTAGTTTTTTATTTTTTTTTGTATATGTTGTTTTTTGTTTTGTATTGTTTTTGTCTTTTTGTAAAATTTATAAAACTTTCAATAAAAAAAAAAAAAAGAAAAGAAATCTGGGGGGGGGGAACAGGCTTACTCTGTAACGGGTGGCACTAATTTGCTCCACTTGGAAACGCTGTGCACAGTTGCACTCAGCCACTTGTCGGTTCACCTGCGTCACAAAAGAGAGGCAGTGGGGGGGGGGAAGGAGAGACCCCAATTTCTCCTACATATGCCTGCATTTGTAGGGACCTACTGTACACTTAACCCCCACTTGCCAGCCTCAATTTCCACTCAGGGGAAATTCAACTGCCACAAGTCTGCTGGTCCTTGCTTGCTCTCAATCAGCAACCACTGGAACGTAGCCAGGGCTGAGCGGGTGTTGCTCATGACCGGTCCTCAAAATCCTCCCAGTGCAGCATCCTGTGGCCACTTGATCACCTTTTCCGACCTGAACTGCCAGCTTCCAATGAGAAAATTCAACAGTGAAGCCGGCAGGAAGTAGCAAGTGATGGCCGCATGAAGTTGTACTTGACCACACCAGAGGATTCACCGACAGTGGCCACCAGAAGCGTCCTCTCTTAAGCGTGAGTTCTTGCTTTGTGGCTGCATCACGTGGCTGATGGAAATCCCAGGTGCCCTTTCGCCTGGGAACTCCCTGCACCCTCCCGCCATTGGCTCACATTCCCGGGCATCCCCTCTTCCCTTCCTCTTCTCTGCCCAGTGCTGCTCCCTGCTGCTCAGTTGCCTCTCCAAAGGGGGTGGCAGAAAGGGGGGGTTGGTCCGAGGCTCCCTCAGTTGAGGCATGTGGGGCAGAGCCTGGCCCTCCCTCCTCAGTTGGGCTGAAGAGCCCCCGATCCCCTGAGGAGGTTCCCGGCGGCAGCAGCCATAGGATTTCCTTTCTGCTAACGTTCCACTTTCAAAGGAAGCACCTAAACGCCTCCTTGCAACAGAACTGAGGGGAGACTCTGAAGCTGCCACTCTGTCAAACTGCACAAGTGAGGGGGGGGGACACCCTGGCTGCCCTACCTCCTCTTGGATGTGGTCCACGTTGGCCGCCCTGTGCAGGATTTCCCGGCCGGGATGCAGAGCGTTGACAAATTCACAATAATCAATGAAACCATCCCTATTCATGTCAAAGATTTTGGCCACTGCTTTCATCTCCAGCAGGCTAGTGGGGAATTCTGGACAGGAAAGAAAGGAGTGGAGGAGGCCAGCCGCAGCCCCCCCCCCACATCCCCTCAGGCCCAGCCACGTCCACAAGAGCCACAAGGGGAAGCAAACGCACCGCAGGGCAGAGGCAGAGGGGGAAGCCCTTCCAAGGGTCTTGGGCAGGAAACCTGGACCTTTTGGCCCGTCCCCATGGAGAACACCCAGGGGAAGGCAGCCTGGGACCAGCACTCACTGGAGGCCAGGACGTGCCCGACAAACTCCTGCTGGGTGATGCGCCCATCTTGGTCTCGGTCAATGCTGCGAAAGATGTCCAGGACCCGGGACTTCCTGTGGCTGATCCACTGCAGGTACCGCTTGCGCCAGACAGCAAAATTGAAGTTGGCCATTTCTTCCAGCTGTGCGAGAGACAGAGAGAAACAGCCACGCACCCTGTCTCGGGTGGCAGGTGCAAGGGCCCCGCAAGGGCCCCGCTTCATTCAGGACACCCGAGGAAAGCACACAAGCGGGGCAAGATGCCCATGCCCTTCCTTTCTCCTCATCCCCATGGCTGGCAGAGAGAGGGGGGGAGCTGGCCCAGGAGGAGATTGGCGCCTTAGTTCCCCATCCAGCTGCCCATTCCCATTGGAGGCAGCCTAAGGCAGCCCAGGTCTCCCCCTCCAATGTCTGGGAGGCTGGAGCCGTCGTTCTCCGGGCTGCCAGGGGACCCGGGGAGAGCGCCTGACTTGGGTCCCTCCCTGCATTTGCTCCGCCACTCCGGAGCGGCTCTTCACCCCGAACCTGCCCATCCTCACCTCCTGAAGGCGCTGCTGGGAACTCTGCAGCCGATGCTGCCGGTCCTGAGCTGCCAGCCAGAGGCGCTGCCAGCGGAGCTCCAGTTGGGTTAGGAGTGGGCTCTGGGGCTCCAGGTCTTCCAGGGGCATGAGGGGGGCCCGGGGCAAAGCTTTTCTGGCCCCATGCCATCCTGCAGTGGGGAGAGAGGGTCCCAGCTGAAACTTGGCACTATTAAACAGCTGGCTGCCACTTGAGAGTGTGCTGGGGGCACTTGTGAGAGCCCTGAGTGTTCCTCCCCCAGGGTCCCGACTAGGGTGTCCAGGCAGGAGGCAAATATAAAGGGAGCTGTGAGCTGATTCTCAGCACAGGGCCCTTTCCAACCTGCCCTCTTCTGCCCCCCTGTAAGTTGATTGTGGGGCAGATGAATGAGTGAGTGAGAGGGCGGGTTGGACACAGGCCAGAGATGGAAGGAAGGCTGAGAAAGAGGCTCAAGAAAATGCCACCTTGATCTTCTTTGGTTCAAGATGGACAGCGAGAAATGCAGAGCCAGTGGCCATAGTGGAAAGAAGAACCGCTGAGTAACTTTGCTCTGCTTAATTCCTCTCCGTATAAGGAGAGAACTTAAGATCACCCACAAGTGCTCCGGACAGCTGCTCCTCATGAGGAGACCACAAGAGAGTGCTCTTTGGCAGGTTCAGAGGGAAATGCCTGGAAGACTCAGTTGGTGCCTCTATGGACACCTTTTCTAATCATTTTGGAAATTGCTTGCTGTTTGGCTCTTTGCAGCCTCAAGTCTGAAAACAGCGGGTGACTTTTCTTCGATCCTTGGCCAAAGAGGTTTTAAATTAGGGTGACTAGAGCACTGATTTTTGGAAACTTCCAAATGGACTAAGGATCCATCTGGATTTGAAATAAGATTTTGAAATTAATTATAAGAATCCTTCCTGTGGGGAAAGACTGTTGTTTTGAATTCTTCAAAAAATCCTATGATGGTAGAATGGGACTTTAAAGATTGGACCGTAAAGAGAACCAGAAGGAACCTAAGATTACAATTAAAGGAGAACTTTTACAGCTGATTTACCTAAAACGGAGCAAAATACTTTAACATTATACGCATTGAAGGATACTTGTGAACAATGGACCCAGAAATTAATTTTAAAAGTGTCCGTCATCATAGATAATCTGTGTTTAAAAGATGTTATGTGAGGCGATCAAATTTTACTGGACAAGACTGAGGCAGATCTGAAAGTGGATTTAAAAACGACAGGCCAAAAGAATGACACGGGAAAAGATGCTATGCAGGCCATACAAATGAAACTGGCTGATGCCACTCTCTTAATACTTAAAAGGGATATACAAATAGCAAAAGAATGGCCTGGATAATGTTCCTATGTTGGATTTACAAAAGAGGCTTGTTAAGGTATTGGAACGATTTGTGAGAAGAGACCAATAAAAAAATGAAAAAAAGTTAAATTCTAGGACATCATTTGAAGAGATTAGCGATCAATATTGTTAAAAATAAAGGAATGCCAGGCTTATTTAATCAAGATTTAAATGGATACGCTATTATCTCTGATCATCTTTAATGGACTTTTGCTGATCAGGACTGACATGATCAGGCTTTCTTTATAGAAAAGAGATGGAATATGGGAAGAAGAGCCCAACTGTTCTATTTAAGAGAAGGTGATAGGTTATTAAAATTGTTTATATTTGTGATGGCCATTACTTTATGTGTTTTTTCTTCTTTTTGTATTATTATTTTTCCTTTTCTATTTTTTTTTCTGTTTCTTTTCTGCATTTCCTTTTTATTCTTTTTTAAGTTGTATTAGTTTTATCTTTAAGTCTAACATTGGGTAAAATTTCTAAAATCTTCACTCTCCGACCTAGACTGAGCAGGTCTTTGGAGCGTTTTGCTGGCTTAATTGCTCAAATAATTTGGTGTCAACAGCAAGCATGACCATCTAATTGCTTGATTTCCCGGATGGGCCCAGGATCAGTTTTTCCTCCCGGAGCCTCAAGGCAGGACTGGCAAAATTGCTTAGGGAGCAGTTGCGTGTCCCGCAGGGTAATGTTGCCTGTGGCTCTGGGGGCTCCATCTCTGGCCAGGGCAAAAGTTGCGAATAAGCCAGGAACTGGAGGCACCAACCGGAACGGCCTTTGCAGGAAGGAGCCTCCACCCCTGGCCGTGCAGTCCTTTTCTGCCTCCCACTCTTGGCGGCCGCCTCCACCTCGGGCTGCTTGTGGTCCAACTCCTGCATGAAGACCTGCGGGGAGGCGAGGGGGTCCCCATCAGCCATTCGGAGCTCGGCAACCGGATGCCATGGCTGCAGGGCCAAGACCCCCCCCCCCCGTCAAAGCCATCCCATTCAGGGCCTTGGTAACAGAGCCACCCACATGTGCATCTCCATGCACTGGTACACACACTCGCAGGGGCTTCTGTGCCATCCCGTTGGGAAAGGGAGGCTCTCCAGGGCTGCAGCAACCTGCTTGCCAGAGGCTTCCTCGACTGCAGGGCAGAGGGCACTGCCCAGCCAAAGACCCTCCAGGGCAGCCCTGCCAAGGAGTGAAGGGGGCGGCCTCTGAAGAGGCTCAAAGGGCCAGGGGTGGATGGAGGTCACTGACACCTCAGCCGACCCACCCACGGCAAAGGGCTTCCTCTACCAGGACCTTGGTGAGGCAGGGGGCAGAGCCCCTTCTAGCCCCCACGGGTAGCTAGGAGCGACTGGCTGGGCCTGACCTGAAGGCAAAGGGGGCAGCGAAGGTACCTTACCGTGTGCTGACATCTGAGCTCCTCCAGCTGCCTGGCATCCTCAGGGAGGGGCTTCTGGTCCCGCAGGCTCAGGGTCTCTTCGGTGGCTGTGATCCAGTCACTGAGTCGCTCCACCGTCTCCTGGTCCGCAGCAAGGGAGGCCGCCTGGGCCTGCAGCCGCTGCTCCTGCTGCTGGATCTGGTTGCAGAGCTGTGAGAAGAGGAGGAGGAGGAGGAGGAGGAGGAGGAGGAGGAGGAGGGAAGAGGAGATGGAAGGAGGAAGAGATGGGAGGAGAACAATGTGGGGGAGGAGAGACATGCCTATGGTGAGGGAAGAAAGGCCTGCTCCCCCACCCCATTGACTGAATGGCCCCCCTGGAGGCCACACATACCAGGCCCAGAGCGCCCACAAGCCCCCTCCCGTTCTGCCCACCTGCTGGAAGCGGCTCTTGGCAAGGACGAGCCAGGACTGGACGGTGCCCACAGCATCAGGATGGCAGGCGCTCAGGATCTCCTCGCCCAGAGAGGTGATGCAGTCCAGCTCCAGCTGCTGGCCCTGCACGCTCTGCTGCAGCTCCTGCCAGCAGAGGGCAAAGCCATCAGCACCTCCCTGTGGGGCCAGCCTCCCCACTCCAGAGGGGAGGGTGAAGGCTGAAGGCTCTGGCATTAGACCCTTCAAGAGAAGAGCAGCGGGCTCTCCCCACCCACCCACCCCCCGACCTTGAGCTGGCTCTGGGCCTCAGCCATGGCTTCCTCCTCCTCCTCCTCCTCCTGCTCTAGAGGGGTCCCGTCCATGGCTGACTTCTCCAGCTCAGATAGGTGGCTCAGGAAGGCACACAGCAGGCGGTGGAACTCCTCTGCCTGCAGGAGAGAGGGATGTCTGCACCACACGGGGTCTTCCTGCCATTCTGGGATGCAGAGTGTGGGTCCTCTGGAATCTGCCCGGCTTCAAGAAGGGGGCTTCTGGTGGCGGCTGGGGAAACGGAAGAGCCTCCTGCCTGTCCCGTGTCCCACCCAGGCCCTTCTGCCTTCCACACAACTGTCCTTCTCCCACCACTGCCCTGTGGCTTGTCCACATGCCTGCCTCAGGGTGACCTCTAGCCGGCTCTGCTGTGAGACGGAGAGCCGGCTGATGAGTTCCCAGCGATCTTCCAGCTCCTCCATCTGGATCTGCAGCCACCGGGCATCCATGGTGCTCCCACCTTGCACCAGCTCACGCTCTGCAGAGCACCTCAGTGTCCCGACAGCCACCGCCCGTCGGCTCAGCTCCGTCTGGAAGGCCTGCCGGGCCCAAGAGAGGAAGCCTCACTGCTAGGTGTCCAGGCCGCATAGCCATTCAGCCCCCCTCTCTCCACCAGGCTGGGAGCACCGGGGCTTCTGCGGGCACAGCAAGGCCACCTCGCCCCGGACCCTCTAGCCATCCTCTCAGCAGTCGTGTGGCAAGTCGTGTGCCCACATTGGGCAGTGGCGCTCTCACCCACCTTGTGCTGCTCCATCAGCATGTCCACCAGGTCTCTGTCCCCACCTAGGGGGGTCTCCTCAGCCAGCTGGGGCTCAACCCGACATAACCAGTCCAGGAGGCTCTGAAGGTCATCGCTGAAGCAGCCGGAGAACAGCAGCTGCTCCTCCAGCTTCTGCTGCCTGCAAAGGGTTTGAGCAGTGAGGGGTCCACAAGGCCTCTGTGCCCCCTTCTCTGGGGTGAAGGGCCAGGCCTGCCCCAAGCAGAACCTCCTTGGAGCCATCGGCAGCCCCCACTCTGGGCAAGCTCCTGCTGTCCTGCGCCCGATTCAGCTGAATATAGGGGGGGGGAGTTTGGGCCTCTCTGAGCAACTGTTACAAAAGGCTCTAATCCCAGAGGCCTGGAGGTGGGGCCAAAGGCACTTAAGCCCCAGACTGTGCCATGAGTGACCACTTTAACTGCTCTACTTGGACCTTGTCTGCTCTACTTGGACCTTGTTTTGGTGAGGATGGGAGGCACTGGGGCTGGCCTCACCGGCCCCAGAGAACAGGTCAGTATCTCAGCACTGCTCTGCAGGGGTCCCGGCCCACACCAGATCCTCAGCCAACTCTCTTGCTTGACCCCTCTTCCCTGCCCCCCCCAGAGACTGGTGGACATATCTCCTGGCTGCACAAAGCGTTCTCCTTCGGACAGTCACATGTCTGAGAGGGTATAGGTTCTGCTTGAGCGGGGGGCTGGACTAGAGTACCTCCAAGGTCCCTTCCAGCTCTATTCTATTCTACTCTTGGTAGCACTGCAATGAGCTACAAAGAAATGAACATTTCCGTGAAGGACACCCCCCACCCCACCCCAGGACCAGTGACTTTGTAGAACAAGTTGCCCCAGCAAGGCCAGATCTGGCTTCTCTGGAGGACAAGAGCGGTTTGGCCAGTCTGTGGAAACACGGCGTGGCCAAAAGCATGCAGAGGACTGGTGAGCAGCCCCTCCAGCCCTCTGTCCCCCACCTCTCGGCTGCCCAGCTCCACAGAGCCCCCCAGCGCTCCTTCAGCTCCCTCTGCATCACGTCCAGCTCCTGGCCATCGGCAGGGAGCAGGGCCTTGGCCCGTAAGAGACTCCCCCGCTGCAGGGTGGCCTGGAAGACCCTGCGCTTGACCCGCAGGCGCCTCTGGAATTCCTGCGGGAACATTTGGAGAAAAGTCTTTGCCTGGAGGCAGCCTGGGTGGTCGAGGCATCTGCCTGCCCCCCCCCGGTCTGCCCTGGGAGGGGGAGCTGTTTCCTTGATGGGGAGTTCCAATGGGGTCCCCCAAATTCAGCTGCTGACATCATGGGACAGAGAACCCCCCCTGGACTCAGGATGGTGCAGGAGAAGGGAGAGGCTTCTGCAGATGGTGGGCATGAGCCACTGGGCACCCCCCGCCTCACCTCGTGTTGTCTCAGAAGGGCCTTGAGGTCCTCTTGCTTCGCTGGGGGGGCACCTGCAGGGGCTGGACGGGCTGCCTCAGCCTCATCCAACCACTTGAGGAGCAGCTGCCAGGACTCTTTGAACTGGAAGGCCAGAGAAGCACTGCACTGAACCTCCCTGGGCACGCCTGCCCCCCCAGCCCCCTATCTTCCGCTGCCCTTTGGGGGGAGTCTCTGTGTGAGATACCTGCTTGGCCTGCTGGTGGGCCTCTTCCAGCACCTCCCTCCTCTTGCTCACTTGCTGCAGGACACTGGCCAGCCGCTCCTTGGCGCTGCCCACCAGGCTGGGAGGACCCCCGTTGTCCTGGGTCAGGCAGGCAGCCTCCATCCCTGCCAGCTTCTTGCTCTTGGCTTCCGTCTCTTGCACCAAGGCCTGCAGGGACATACCAGGCAGGGGAGCCCAGGAGATTCCCTCCACAGACCAGCCCTCCTCCCCAGGGCCCACTCCACCCAGCCTCTCCTGGAAAGACTGGAGAGGGACACTTGAGACCAAGCCTGGCAGTGCCCCACCTAAGAGAGCTCAGCCACAAGTTGCAACACGCCCAGTCCGCACTGGGCCAAGTGGGCCAGCGTCCAGGGAATGGGGGGCAGACTTCTCTTCCCAAATGACACCAAGGGCACCCATGCTACCCAGGGGAGACCCCCTCCTTTTCCAGCCAGCTGTGGCTGACCTGCTGCTGCCGTCTCTGTTTGCTGACCGTGTCCAGGATGTAGCTGGGAGGAGGCAGGGCTGCCAAGACCTCCTCCGTCTGCCTGACCCACTTCAGGAGCTCCTGGAGGGTGGCGTGGAACTCGGTGGCCGAATTTGAGCTTTGGAGGAGCTGCTCCTGGGAGAAGGACGGAGCACCGTGGGCAGACCCCGTGCAGGACGAGAGCCCCAGCCTCTGCAGCCCCCCTCCTGCCCACCCACCTTCTGCTCTTGCAGGCGGCTAGTGAGGCTACCCCACTTCTGCTCCAAGACCCTCAGGCTGTGCTCGGCTGTAGAAGCCCCGTTTGAGTGGCAGGTGGCCAACAGGTGCTGGAGCTTCTCCTGGACTTGCTGGTATGTTTGCTGCTTGGACTTCATCTCTTCACAGAGTTCCTGCCCAACCACAAGATCCAGCCAGGTGAGGCTTCCCAGCCACAACCTCCATCATTGCCTGGAGGAGGCTGAACCCAGAGGCAGCCCAGGTGGAAGAGGAGCATTTGGGAACCGGCAGGAAACCAGGCCCTGCAAATCATGCGGCCTTCCACAGCTAGCAAAAGGTCCATGCACCGAGATGGTCCAGTAACACTACAGCTTTGCTTATTTGGAGGGCCCTGAAGCCAAGAGAGAAGCTTCCTTCCCCAGGCCTGAAGCCAGGCAGCCATGATCCTGCACCTGCACCTGAGAATTCAGGGGCTCTTGAGGGTCCCACCCCACAAAGGAAAAGTGGGGAAAGGGGCAGCCCCACACTGAGGAACAGCCTTGAGACACCAGGAGCCCCCAGGCGCTAACACTGTGCTTTCCAACCCATTTGGGTGATGAAGAGGCCCCGGATGGCTTCTGTCCTTGATTTGGGTGCTTCTGTCAATGCGGTTGGATTGTTTCACTGTTGTTCCCTCACCTGAAGCAGGGCAGGAGAGGATTTCCATGGTGCCCTGCCCACGCCTTCCCTGCTGCTGGGCCGTGGAAAGCGACCCTAGTAGGGCTTTGCCCAAATCGGCCCTTTCCTGATCCAGCTGGCAAGGCCCAGGAAGTTCCAGGGGCCAAAAGAGGGACCTATGGCCAGGACCATCTGTCGTTTCCCCATGCCCACTCAGCACAATGACAGACAAAGGTCATGGGACATCTCCCAAAGTCTTCGGGAAATGGTCTTAATGGCCCAACGTCTTCAGGTGGACCATCAGGGGAAGCTTCTGGGCTTCAGAGCCTCCTAAAGTCCAACCTCCTCAACTGCTACAACAAAGGGAGGCAGGAAGCTTCTCAAGAAGGGTTCCAAGAGGGCTGAAAGTGGGCCACCAAGCAGCACCTGGGCCACCTTTCATCCCTAGCCAGAATCAGCCATCCAAGAAGGCGGCCGTGTCCCTGGCATGCAGCAGGCACCTGGGAAGGAACTCACCAAGAGTGTGCCCAGCTTGTCCTTGGTGGCTTCGGGGGGCCCCCAGATGGTCTTGGAAGAGAAGAGCTGCAACTCCACACGGTCCAACCACTGCAACAGCCCAGCCGCCTCCAGAGAAACCTCCCGCACCTTCGGGAGCACCAGGCAGAGAGTGGGCAGAGAGACCAGGACATGGGGAACAAAAGCTGCTCCCTGACTTCAGAGGACCCCCTCCCAGGCCTTGAGCAAAGGCCATCAAGCTGCCTCCAGCCGAAGAGGCGCCTCCTGGTTGTTGGTCCTCCAGTTCTGGAAACGCTTGGCCAGGAGGTCCCCTGCCCGGCTTCACCTGGTTCAGGTTGTGCTCCAAGGCCAGGTGGCGCTGCTCTGTCTCGGCCAGGACCTGGCTCCACCGATGGCTCAGCTGCTGGAGCTTGCCCTGTAGGCCCTCCACACAGGTCCCACTGCCGTCACCAGGCAGCTGCTGCAGACGCCAGCCAGCCTCCTGCACCGCCTGCACCGTCATTGTGTTAGACAGGACGTCCTTCTGTAGCACCTGCCAAGAGCCGGTGTCAGCCCCACCAACTGCCCACCAGAGAGCAATCCCCTGCCTGGGGAATGGGGGCGCTGGACCACCTGGTGCTTGGCCATCTCGATCTCGCAGCTCTGCAGGTCCGGCGTGAGGGGGAGGGGGTCCCGGAGCTGCTCCGCAGTGTTCAGCAGCCACTCCATCAGCCAGTCCAATTGGCTCTGGAACCGACCCAGGCGCAGGAGGGCGGCCTCCAGACGGTGCTGCAAAAGAGGCCAAGAGGCTGTGGGGGCTCTCGAGCCAGGCAGCGAGGTGGGGAAGGCAAGTGGTAAGCCCCCCTCGAGACCCTTCCGCTCCCACCCACCCCAGCCCAAGTGCCCCCACCTGCCGGGTCAGCAGCTCTTCCTCCAGCTGGATCCAACGGTCCCGGGAGCCCCCAAAAGCAAGGGGGGAATCTTCCTGGGCAGCCTCCCGGTAGCTGCTCCGATGCCAAAGTCTCTCGGCCTCCACTTGGTGCCGGTACAGCTCTCGCTTGAAGGCCTGCCCAGGGGATTTGGGAGGCAATGAGGAGATGCTGCCTGGCACAGCCCCTCCCCTTGCTTCCTTAGGACCACGCTAGAGTGGCAGCCGCACAGAGCCAGGGCTGATCCTGCTCGGCTGCGCTGGGGCCTGTAGAGGCTGGAACAAACCTGTGTAGAGAAGGACTGCTCTGCCCTTGCTCCGCGCTCCACAAGCACGCTGCCACTGACTAAGAGCAGAGCCAGTCTGGACCACATTGGACCATTTGGACCCACGTGGCAGCCCCCCGCTGATCTCAGCCGGGCTCCTGGGGACAGGCATCCCCCTCCCCTCCCTCTCTAGGAAGCCAAGCAGTCCTCACCTTCAGCTCTGAGAGCTCCTGCTCCACCTGCATCGGTTCCCCCCCACCTGGGAACTCCTGGGCCACCCGCTGCTCAGCCTCTGCCAGCCAGGCCAGGAGCCTCTGGAGAGAAAGGAGAAGAAACCAGCAGGGAAGCGGGAGGGGTGTGGCGGGGAGGACTGAGTCTGGGGAGGCTTCCTAGGGTTGGCTAGGGAGTGCTGGGGCTCCGGCTTTAGGTCTGAAAGGTCAAGAAGGGGCCGAGGGGCGCAGGAGGTCTGGCAGATGCTCTGGGGACAATCAAAAGGCAGCACAGTCCATCAGTGGGAAAGTGGGGCTCACAGGGGCTGCTCTGGCAGGAAAAGCAACCTGAATGGGGCACCTGAAGGAATCTGGACTTCTGTCTCTGCCCCGCCTTTTCCCGGGGGGTCCCTGGCAAGCTCGCTAGTTGGTCACCTGATCCCCTTGCCCGTAGCAGGAGAAAGCTGAAGCCCCTCCCCACGTGCCCAGGGTGCACTCCTTCCTGGTTGGCAGCTTCCAGCCATATTTTCTTGTCCTCAGGCGGGAAGCTCTCCTCACCTCCATCGTCTCTTGGTTGGTGACCGATGCCTGCAGCTGGTCCTCCAGGTGCTTCTGCCGCTCCCCCCACGTCCTCTTCAGGCTGTTCCAAGATGAGTAGAGCTGGGGGTGGACAGAGGGGTCAGCGGGAGCTCCTGGGGTGGGCACGGTGAGGCTTCTGGGACTCCAGGCATGGTCAGCAGGAGCCACATTGGGCAGCTTTACCTTGTGAAGCTGAACTAAGGGGACGGGGCAGCCGGGGTAGCAGGGGCCACTGAGTCAACGGGCCGTCCATGCAGTCTGCTCCCCAAGGGTACCTGCAGATTGCACTCCCTACAAGTGCAGATCCATCACATCCCGAGAGTATCCAGTCCAGGGGCCCCCAATCTTTGCACCCTGGTTGCTCCAGCACCAGGAGAGGGGAAAAGGGCAGATGTCCTGGAGGACTCTGTGGGCGCCATGCTGCTGTCTCCCTCCACTCCACCGCTTGCCAGCCCAGTTGGTGCTCACGTCGTCCAAGCTCTTGGTGACTGTGGGCTTCTCCAGGTCTCCGCACAGTGATATCAACTCCATGCCCCAAGCCCCCAAAGAATCCAGCTCACTCTGCAGAGCGTCCACCTCCTCGCGCAGGGCCTGCAGGGCGAGAGGCCATGGACGCCGCCAGCATAGTCCTCCACCCGACCAAGCAGCCATCTCCAGGGACCCTGAGCCCCGCAAGTCAGAGGAGGGTTCAAGGGGGCAGCCCAAAATGACAGGGTGGCCTGGGAGGAAGGTCTAGGCCTGTCAGAATGGGACAACTCACCGCGGCCATCTCACCACGGCCCTCTCGCCATGGCCAATGCCACAATAGCTCGCTGTGGGTCAACTCACCATGGGGCAATTGCATGGAGAGGTGGGCACGATAAATGTTATCCACCATCGTTTCTTCGACATTATTTCCATTGACAAAAATGGAAGATGGCCGTGGCAAGTTGTCCTAGACTGCGGCAGGTGGGGCCAAGGTGAGTGGTGTGGCTGTACTGATGGAGACGGCCCAAAGGCATTGTGCTGTCCCACCCCACCGAACCCCCAGTGCTGTCCCACCCCACCGAACCCCCAGAATCCCCAAGTCCACCGACCCCGGCCTCCTGGGTTTTCTCTGCCTCCTTGGCTATTGACCGAAAAGAGGGACCAGGGCGCCCTAGGAACCCCAAAAAGACCTGTCCAATGTGAAGAGAGCAGTGTCTCCGAAGAAGAAGACTTGGGGGTGGTAGCTGCAGGACCTTCAGCCCATCCCCCAGGCATTGCTCCTGCCCTGTGGGGTGGGGAGCTTCCCCAGGATAGCAGCTGCTTGGGACACTACAAGGAGGGAGGGGGCACAGCTTCCTCGGGGGGGGGGGGAAACGCCATGATGGGTCTCCTGGTTCAGCCCATACCTGCATGGCCACCAGCTTGGCCTGGATATCCTTTGGACCGGAGGCCGCAGAGTCTTCCAGGTCCAGCACCATCTGCTGACTGTTGCTGAGAGCCCCGGCCAGCTCAGCCAGGCCAGGCCAAAACCGCCCGGCCAGGGCCAGGAGTTCCTGCAGGGAGGCCTCTCGGTCTTCCTCCAGCTCCCACAGCAGCTGCCACTGACTCCGCAGCTCCTGCATGCGCTCCTGCATGGCTGCAGCAGCAGGAAGAGGGGCTGAAGCCAGGGGGTGCAGGGACCCCCCAGCTGACCAGGTCAACCAAGCCAGCCACTGGGCTCCTCAAACCAGCTGGGACCAACCACGCAACTCATGCAGCCATAGAGAGCTGCATTTCCACAACTCTCTGAGTCATCAGTGGCCCAGCTCCATCTTGACCTAGCATGTGGGGTTGTGAGAATCCAGCCCAAGTGTGAACCGTGGGGTCTCCAAGGAGATGGTGGCCCAGGAATACAGCTCCTTCCTTCCCCCAGGCTGTGCGCAGAGCATTCTTGGGGGCTCTCCAGCCATAGACTGGCCAGCTGGGTAGCCACGAGTCCTCTGGGAGTGGGAGCCCCCCTGAAAAAGTCTGGCTAGGAGTGTACCTGGGGGTGTGGTGGTCTGCAGGGTGGCTTGAAACTCTGCCCCCTGCCCACTGAGGGTCTCGAGGGCCACGCCCAGCTTTTCTAACTCCGCCAGCCGTCGGCTGTTCTCCCAGAGCTGCTCCTGGAGCCAGGTGGGGTCTCCCCGCAGCTCAGGTGGGTGCCTTGTGTGGTCCCGCACCCGCTCCAAGTTCCTGGTCACCAGCTCCAGCCGCTCGGACAGCTGCCAGGGAGCAGAGGAGGTTCAGGGTCAGCCCAGAGGGGCTTTTCAGCCTGGGCATCAGGCAGGGAGGGAAGGAATGGGGCCACAACGAGATGAGGGGTACCCTGAAGGCAACGGGCAGAAGCCAGCTCCTCTCAAGCAAGGAAGGAGCCCCCATCGCTCCCCCAACTGTGGGACTTTGCACAGGTGGGCTGGCGGGGCATCCTTCCCCCCTGCAGCACAGCCACTGGAGGGTGGTGAGCCTGGCTTACTTGGCTGTATCGTGGGAGGGCCTTCCTCAGCACAGCTGTGGCCTGTTGGGCCTGCTCTCGGAGGCTGCTGTACTGCTCCTCGGTTGCCTGCAGCCCCTGCCAGAATGGCGCTGCCTCCTGTGGACACTGCTCGGACAGCCACCTGGTGATGCGGTGCAGCTTCCCCACCAGGGGCCTGTGCTCAGCTATGGCCTCCCGCAGACCCTGCGCAGGACAGAGGCGGGGCCAGATGTGGGTCATACAGAGGCCCTTGGCCCCATCCAAAGACCCCCGCCACTGCCCTCACCTCCAGCACCTCCTGTTGCTCCTGGAAGACTTCGCAGCGGGTGGTGATGCTGCCGGGAGAGAAGGCTGCGACTGCCTGCCGGGCCTCCTCCAGCCACTGGCTGAGCTCTGCCTGGACCTCGGTGTGCTGAGCCAGGAGCAGCTGCCCTTGCGCCAGCTGCAGGGTGCAGGCCGGGCTCTGGCAGCCGAGGGACTCCGTGCCTTCCTGTGGAGCCCCCACCAAGGGTTGCGAGGACACAAGGGACAAAGCAGGCGGATGAGCCACATGCCATAAGGAGAAATGGGCCCTGTGCTCCCCTCCCCCAAGGCTGACCCTGTAGCGCCCGAGAGGCATAACAGAGAAGCTGGGCAGGTCGAAGCACGTGGCACCCATGGCCGGCCGGTCTTCGGCAAGAGCTGTGAAGTGGAGCATGTTTAGTCTCGAGAAAGGTGCCAGGGGAGGGGGGCACCAGGAGGGGCACGGAAGAAGGCCACCACCTCTGCTTCCCTCCCAAGTGCTGGGCCTGGAGCAAGCGAGGCAGCTGCCAAGTGCCAGGCAGGGAAAGCTTCCTAATGAAAGCTTCCAGGTTGAAGGCAGAAACAACGGCCCAGAGCAGCACTGGGGGGCCTCAGGTGGAGACTGGACTCACATGGGTTCCTGTCCTGAGTGGCGGGGGGCTGGGGGGGGCCTTCAGTCAGCCTAAGCAAGCCAGCAGTCATCCTGGCCAGGTGCTGATGAACTTACGCCAGTCTCCTCCCAGGTGGTACCCAGAGACCCCAATTTGCTCCTGAGACCCCAAAACTGGCTGTGAGCAAAGAGGCCTCCTCCAGCCGTGTGTGTGTGTGTGTGTGTGTGTGTGTGTGTGTGTGTGTGTGCGCGCGCGCGCACATATGCCTGGACTTGGCTGGATGCATGCCCCATCCTGCTGGATTTATCCCCTCCCTGGGCCAAATAGCTAGCAGGAAAATCCTGGGCTTTCCCTGCCCGCTGAGGCTGGAGCCGCAGGCCCAGGGGTGAGGCTGAAGGGGACCATTTCTTGCATTCGGGGGTGGGGATGGGGGTGGGGTGGCTGGGAGGAAGTAACACTATAACAGAAGCCTTGAAGTAGGCAGAGCATGAACGAAAAGCCCACAAACGTAGACTCTGCCTTTGGGGGTCAGAAAGGGGCACGGAGCTCAGGGAAGGGGGACCAAAAGCAACACAAGGAAATTGCCCTGGTGCCACTCTTCCGCCTCCCCCTCCCTTTACCCCCCCTTCTTTCGCGGAGGGGGGGTAGTCCTTCCTTGCTGCCTCTTGACTTCCTGCTCTCAGGTGACCATCTCAGCATCTTCCCTCTTAGCCCCGGCTGCTGGGCTGCCTGACTCCCACTGACTCGTTCCCTCCCCCTTTTCTCTCCCTTCCCTCTTTCCCTCCCAAGGAGCCCCAGTCGTTTGGCCTTTCTCCAGGCAGGCCACATCCCCACCTCCTCCTAATCAAGCCCACCAGCCTGGCCTTTGCCCCACCTTCATCTCCCTGCTCTGCACGAAGCACTTCCCACAGCAGTACCAGCTGTTGAGACACAAGTGCCACCCCACGTGCCCTGCCCTGCCCAAGGGGGGCATCTCTACGCCAGACGATGCCTTGCAAACATCTGGATGACCCCTACACAGAATGCACCCCTCCCTTTCCTGGAAGCTTGGGGGGGGGAGGCAGCAGCCACGGGCCAAGTGGAAAGCATCTTTTGGACAGGATGCTCTGCCAGTTGGGCAAGGCTGCCGCTCTGGGCATGCTCCTCCCACATCCACCATCCCGACTTTGTCCCCCTCACCTGCAGCTGCTCCTGCACATCTGTGGGGCAGAGGCTGAGCAGTGGGTTGGCTGGCTCCACCGGCCTTTCTACCTGGCCGTGATGGTGAAGGGTCTCTGCAGAAAGGTGCTGGGGACACAGGGAAGGCGGATCAGGAGAGGGGGCAAGGTAGCCCCCCACCCTCTTTTGCGACAGGCTGCAAGGGTATGCTTGTTCTCAGGGTGGGGCGTGCAAAGACCGGCTGCCACCTGGGAAACCTTTTCTGTCCTGCCAGGATGCTGCCTGGCCTCGCGGTTCTTGCTTGTTGTGCCTGACTGGCCAGTCCCTGGACGGTGCCCACTGGGCAGAGGCTTTGCCTTCTGCTCTAGAGCCCTCCCTGCTCTCAAAGCCCGGCCAGCGGAGGCCCCACGCTGGACACACAAGCCGAGGGAGCAAAGACGCAGCTGCTCTCCTCCCGCCAAACACCTCCATCCTTTGGGGAGGCCCCGGGGTGCATCTCCTGCCACCCTGGGCCGACTGGAGGGCATCTGCTCCCCGCTCTTGGCAGGTCACACTCCCTCACCAACCTTCTGCTCCCCAAGTGCCAGGTGGATGGCCTGGACATTCAGGTACACCTGGCTCAGTTCCTCCACACCTGCGCTCAGCTTGGACACAGCGGCCGGCTCAGACCTCAACGCCTGCTCCAGCTGAAATAGGAGGAGGCAGAGCCCAAATCATCGGCCTCACCCGTGCGCAGGACAGAAGACCCCGGAAGACGCCAGGGGCCCCACAGGCACCCAGGGGGAGGCCGGGAAGCCCCTGGTCCCAGGCTGGCACACCTTAGGCAGGACCACAAAAAGTGTGCAAAGGGGGGGGAGGCTGGCAGTGGCAGCAGCAGCAGACAGTTTCAGCTCTCTTGCCCTTGCCAATCTTCGCCCCAGGAACCGATCCTTGCTCTCCAACAGATGGGTAGGGATTGGACAGACCCTTTGCCCTTCCCTGCCCAAAGCCTCCACTGGGCAAGGGGGGCTGCAAGAGGTTGGCTTCCCCCCCCCTACCCTCCACCTACCTTCTCTTTGTCTGCAGGGGCCGGGGGGCAGGACCCTTCTCCTGCCTGGCTGCCTGGCAAGTGCTGCTCCTTCTCTGGGGGCTGCAGTGCGAGGCCCAGGTCCTCTAGGGCAGGGTCCGGATGGGAAGAGGCCTCCAAGGCCTGCTCCACTCGCTGCAGGGTGTCGCTGCTCCTCTGGTCCACCAGCAGCAGCCTCAGCCGCAGGGAGTCCATCTTGCCTTGGACAAGCTGGCCTTCTTCTCCTGCAAGAGCAGAGCCCCACCTCAGCCCAGCAAGAGGGGGGGGATCAAGAGACAGCAGCTGCCCAGAATAGTCCAGCACCCGCCCTGGGGGCCTCCCAGCTCCATAGGCTGCTAAGCTGTACAGGGCCCACCTGTACAGATCTGGACTCTTGGGCTCAGAGAGTCTCCTTGCCCGCCAGATTCTTAGTCCACCTAGCATCAATTCTGGAGGCTCAGGGCAGGAGAAGAAGGGACGGGGAAATGCTATTTTGAAAATGGGACAGGGACGAGGTGCACTCAATGCACGTGCTATTGGAGTTGACTTTTTGGTTTAACGTGAACACAGATTATTGCTACCATCTTGCTACTGACGGGTATTGTGCTGGAACCTAAGGGGTGTGGTTGTTTGGGCATAGCTATGGAATCATTTCAGCTCCCCGAACCAATTTAAGGAAGACTTGTAAGTCAGCATAAACCATAAGGACCTTTTCTCACAAACACCCAATCCTCCCCCCTCTTCTTTCCAGCTTCTGATTTCAAAGCCTTGGTAGCTAAAGTCAGAGGCTGCTAACTGGGTGGGAGGGGAGAGGCTGACATGGTTAAGACTTCCCCAACTCTTCGTTGCCTTCCTCAACTCAGCAAATACCATCAGCAGCTAGGTGCTAGAGGGCAGAGGCATATAAAGTTAAAAGGTTAAGGAAAGTTTTATTTTCCTTATATTTTATGAAATGGCTTTAACCCCCTGGCCATACAATGCCCTGACTAAAGAAGCGTTAACGTTCCATAAAACCCACTGAGAAAGGAACTCTAACTCTCTGTCTCCACCTGCAAGGCCTGCCTGTGATGTGGCGCCTCCAGGAGAACAACCGGAGATCCAAAGAGGGATTTCCCCACATGCTCCACTCCCAGCCAACCCAAATGCAAGGAGCCCAGGTGGGCAAGTGGGATAGGAAGGGCCCTTCGGGGCAACCTCTTCCATGGCTCTGCCCTGGATGGATCCCAGCTGCTGATTGTAAGCAACAGCCCCGGAACCTCACAAGCACTTTGCTTTGCAGCTCCAGGAACCCATTGATCGCAGCCTTGGGGGCCGGAGCAGGTCTGGCACCTCCAAGCATGTGTGACCGGGGCCTTCTGGGTCTGGAGCTGCTTTGGACTCCTGGGAGTGGCTCTGCTGCAAAGAGGAAACTGCAGACGCTTCTGCAACTCTCTGTCTCTCCCTTATCCCGCCACGTCGCTCAAGGTCCCTGGCGAGGGGGCCGAACTCGACCTCCTACAGGAGCCTGGCACCGCCACTTGCCTGGCACCATCTGCAAGAGCCGCTGTCCACGCTGCAAGGCCTCCTCCAGTTCTGCTGTTTTGGACTGAACTTCCTTGCGCAGAGCCTGGAGAAAAGCAAGCGCTCAGGTGACTCCAGAGGGCCTTGTGGCTCTTTCCGCTCCCTTATCAGAGAGCAGAGCCTCCCACCGCTCAGGGCTCTGCCCCCCTCCTCCATGCACTGTGCCTGAATCTGCTGGTGGGCCTCCTGGCTTTGGGCCAGGCTCCCGTGGGCTCCCCAGAGTTGGGCCAGTTTCTGCTCCGTCAAGCTCAGCCAGTCTTGGAAAGCATCAACCGACTCCTGGAAGACGTTGGCAGCAGGGATGATCTGCTGCAGGGAGCTGTGCCTGTGGGAGAGGAGGGGGAGATGGAAAGCAGGGAGGCCCAGCAGGAGCCCAGCAAGGAAGGCCTCCCTCCTGCCCTCCAGGACACTCGGAGCCACGGGGAGGGGCGTGTCTGTAAGAGGGGCCAGAGGGAGCATCACAGAAAGGCCAGGTGGGGCCCCAGCCCTAGGCGGCCTCCCTCTCCCTTCTCTTCCTTTGCCTTCCCTCCTCTGGAAGGCCCTGAAGAGGCCCAGGGAACGGCCCCTTGGCAGCGGGCAGTACAAATTCCCAAGCAGCTCTTGAGCCAGGCGGGGAGAAGCGCAAGGAGCCAGATTTCTGGGCTCTGAAGGCTTTCGCTCTTTTGGTGGAAGATGTGCAACCTGGGCTGCGTCAGGCAACCTCCCCCCTTTGCCCCTAAGGCTTGCACAAGTCTTGCACAAGCACTCGTAGCAGAGACCGCCACAAATCTTGGGCTGCTCCGGAATATTCTGGGGCTTTGTTCAGATGGAGCAAAACATGGCCTCCTGCCCTTCGGCTGTTCTATGGCCGGGAAATTATCAGCAGCCTGGATTCTGATGCCCTGTGTGGAATGGGACAGTATGTGAACTGAGGGTGGGCAAAAAAAAAACACCCTTGCAGGCCCTGTGCCTGTGCACACAACTCACTGGATTACAGGCCCAAAGTTGTGTTTGCTGGTGCTTGCTGTGTGAAGCAGAAAAAGGCCCACCGGGTTAAGGTGCTTTGCAAAGCTGGACACTAAGACCCGCAAGTGAACAGCCATGGGGAGCTTTTCTTCCCTTCCCCCCAGACAGGGCTGGCTTCCTCTACCTGGCTTCGGCCTCCCGGACCAGGATTGCCCACTTCTCCTGAAGGCTGGCCGGGCCCCTGGGCTGCTCCTCTCCCTCGGCAATGCTGGCAGGCCGGCAAAGGTGGCCTAGGTGGGGGGTGCGCTCCTCCAGCAGACGCAGCAAAAGCTGTTGGGAGCAGAGCAGCCGGTGAGCCTCTCAACCCGCAGCCGTGCGGCCTCTTCCCCTCTTAAGAACCAGCCAGGAGCCGTGGGTGCCACTCGGCCTTGCGCTCAATGGGAGCTTCTCTGGCTCTCCGTGCAGCTTCCCAGCCTTGCCCCTTTATCACACACATCCGCCCCCCCCCCCGTGACTGGGACCCTTGCCAGGCCCTTCCCTCGCAGGCAGATGACGGGCACAGCGGCTGCAACCCAACCGGGCTGTTCCCCAGCTTTGGCTGCAGTGGAGGATGGGGTCACCTGAGGTTGGGTCCTCCTGGGCAGCCCTGAGGCCTGTGCTTAGAGCACCTGACCACCCAACAGTCAAGGGAGGCCAGACTGAGCCTCTTCCCAGCCCCACCTCCTTTCCTGGGGCTGCAGGAAAGCTCCCGTCCTGGAACAATGGCTTCTGAATATTCCCTTCTCCATGGCTCTTTACAACATAGATACAAATCATAATGGGAGAAGTATTTTTATAGTAAAATTACGTTATCGTTTCAAAATGGTAAAAAGCTTCCAAGCTCTGCCATGTCCCATTTCTGGGATCGTAGCTTTGCAAGGCCTGGGTCACCTGGGCAGGTACCGAGTCAGAACAACAATGATGGTGATCATAACCCTCACCTACCCCAAGGTGCAGCTCTTTCCAAAGCTCCAGGTGCGTAAGCTACCTCTCCCTGCTCACCTTTTGCTCCTGCAGCTGTGCCTTCACGACCTTGGCTTCCCCTGAAGGTGGTCTCTGGTGGCCCATGAGGTCCTCCACTTCCCTGACCCAGGCATCCAGCTTCCCTGCAGCCTCCGGGGTCAGCCCAGCGCCCTGCATGCCTCCTGGGAGGGCAGCTGCCTGCAGGGAGAAGAGGCCTCACTCAGCAGAGCTCCCACAAAGGAGGCTTCCGGCATCTCCTCAATGCATCTTGGGATGCCGGTGTGTGTGTGTGTGTGTGTGTGTGTGTGTGTGTGTGTGTGTGTGTGTGTGTTGCACTGGTGCTGGCCGGCCTCTTACAATCCTTTCGATTCCCAGCAGCATCCCCTCAGGGGAAGGCGGCTTCTACTCCTCAGCTCCACCTGCTCCAACCACTTATCGGGCATTCTCCCCTCCCCGGGTTTGCCAGTGTGGGGCCTGGGGCAAAGATGGCCAACGAGGCCTTAGGTGGGCAGGTTAAACTAGTCACGTGAATGCGATCCCTGGCTCCTTGCAGAACACTTTAATGTAATTGGGGATGGTGTCTGGTTCTCCCGTCAGAGCTGAGGGGCTGGTTGGAGCCCACAAGCCATGCCGGGGTTATTTAGGGCTACCCTCTCCTCTCCTGACCAGCCAGTGGTCCAAACATGGCCACGGACACGATTCCCACAAGTGCCACTGACGGTGAATGAGGGACCACTCCAGGGTCCTAACTCCGAAGCACATGGCAGAGGCAGTAGTGGCTGGACCCCCACAAGGCACCCAAGGGCTGACTACACACAGACACACAGACACTTCAGGACCAGCACCAAGGTGGACAGCAACCTCCTTCTGGAACCATCTTACCTGCCCCCCAGGCCAGCTCCCCACCTGGTGGCAGTTGGCACAGCCAACCCTGTCAGAGGAAGAAGAGGCATCCCAGAACTCCTTCCACACAGGTGAGCCCCTACTCAGCCCAGAAGGAATCAGCCATCTCCATGAAGTCTGACCCACGGACACCCTGGCCCACTTCTCTGCTCCCAAAGTCAAACTCTCCCTCTGCTTTGGGGGGGGGGGGCTCTTGCGACCATCTTGCTGGAGCAAGAGGAAGCAGGGCAGCAACTTGGCTAGTGGAGGGGGTCACCTTCAGCAGCCTGCCGGCCTGCTTGCAATCCAGCCCCCATCTTCCCGGAAGGGAGAGCAGATACCTGGGTCTTGGGGGGTCCCTTGCCACGGGCTTCTTGCCCTACTTCAGAGGCCTCTCTGAGCAAATGAGCCATTAGCAGCCGTGGCCACCCCAGCCGTGCAAGAGCCACAGCCACCTTATCTTGGCTGCAAGCAGTCTGGCTGCCGATGGGGAGGGGCGGGCACAGGACATGGGCAAAGCACTGCCCCACAGCCTCCTGCCCGGTGCCAGGGCTGTGGGCAGAAGGGGTGAAGCTGGGGGCACGGTGCTTATTGACCTGGGCCAGGGCTCCTCTGACGTCAGCCAGCACCTTCACCGTCCTGGTCACGGAGGCCTCTCGAGTCTTGTCCCCACCCGGGTACTCCGTCACCTCCACGATCTCGGTCACCACCGTCTCCGTCACCTCTGTCACCTCCGTCACCTCCCTGGTGGTGCTTGGCTTCCAGCCCCAGGCGGCCCCCAAGCTCTTGGGAGAGGTCCAGGGGGCCACGGCTCCCTCCGGCTGAGGTTGGACGGGGGAGCAATTCTGCAGCTTAACATCCAGCTTGTTTTGCTTGGGGAGGGGGCTGTTCTTTCCAGCCCCCTCCAGGGCCACGTTCCAGCCATTCTCCAACGCCCGTGGGCTGAGGCAAGCCTTCTCGGGGGGCCCCGCGCGATCCTCCTCGTTGTTCCGGGTGGCCGAACAGGGCTCCTTCAGGAAGTCTTCCGCTCTGGGGCTTTTCTCCCCCAGGCAACTGGGCCTGCTGACGAAGTTGCCCATGGCCGGCCGGCCGGCAGGCAGGCAGGCAGGGGCCCGGCGGCCTCTCAGAGCCCCCTCTGAACCAGAGTAGCAGCAGCGGCGACCACAGCCGTCGCCAGCCTCTCAGCGGGGGAACCGGGCAAGCTGGAGGCCGGCCGAAGCTTCCCTCGCCCCAGGCCGCGGGGGCTCATGGCTGCTGCACCAGGGCAGCGCCCCGCGCGGCTTCCTCCTTCTGCTTTTCTCCGGAGGCTTCGACCCTGCGGGCTGGGCGAAAGGAGTTCTAGCTGAGCGCCTGGCCGGGCCGGCACCCGCTTAGGAAAAGCCGACTTGTTTAACGGGAACCGCCGAGACGCGCGTCGCAAAGCCCGGAGCCGGCTCGGGCAGGGATGCCGCCGGCTCGCAGCCAGCCCGGCGACCACGCGGCACGTCCGCACAATAGGCTGAGCCCCCCCCCCGGCCGGCAGAAGCTGCGCCGGCCCCGCTCCTCCGCGCCTCTCCGCCGAGCGACCGCCGCTTCCAGGCCCTCCGCCCCACGAGCGGAGCGGGCGGCGTGAAGGAGACAATCGGCCGCGCCTCCCCGCCCCGCAATCCCTCGCAGCACGGGCGGCCCCGCCCCGCCCAGCTCCGCCTGCCGCCACCTGCCGGGAACCGCCAACTTCCCGGGCGGCGGGCGGCGCGAGGGGCGGGCGGGGGAGCGCGAGGGACCGGCCGGCGCTCGGCTTACCTTCCGGGCGAGTTGCGGGGATCGCCCGGCGTCCCCACCGCCCGGCTCGGCGTCCCCGGCTCAGCTGCCCCGCCCGCTCCGCCGTCTCAGCGGCACTTCAGGGCATCCCGCGGCGAGCCGGGCGGGCCGAGAGAGCCTCGTCCGGAGGGGCAGCGGCGCAAATCCGATTTGCAGCGGCCGCCCCGCACCTTGGGCGAGACTCCGGGCCGGGGCCGCGCAGGCTCGGCAGCAGCAGGTGTCGCGGAGGAGGGGCGCCGGGGGCGGGGGACCCCCGATCCCCCCCGCTACCGACCTCCGCGCAGGGACCAACCGCCGCCTGCCCTGGGCTCCTGGCCGCTCCCGCGCTAACGCCCCAGGCCGTCGCTGGGGAAACACGACGGGGCGCCCAAGCACGCCGGCGGAGGCCGAGGGGGGCCCCGGGCGCCTGGGCCACCAAGGCCACGGCCACGACGGCTCTCCCGGCAGCGCCACCTCCCCCGGCCCCGCTAAGGCCCCCGCCGGGCCCGGAACCCGAGGACGGCGGAGCTCCGCAGGTGCGCGCCCCACCCTCCCCGGCCCGCGAAGGTCCCGGAGCCGAAGCCAGGGAGGCGAACTGCGGGTCGCCCGTTTCCCGGCGGCGGCGGCGGCGACCGCGACGGCTTAGCGACTCTTCTCGGGGACCTGCGGCGACCCGGAGCTCAGCCGCCGACGGCTGGTATCCTCCGCCCCTGGCTCCCCCGACAGGCGAGCCGGAGCGCCCCGAAGCCGCATTGGACAGAGTCGAGGTCTGGGGGGGAGGGAGGGCTTGTCGGAGTCCAGCTTTGCCCCTCGGCGCTGAGCGGGCTGAGCAGAAAGAGCCGGCTGGGCCGGCTGCGGTCACTGGTAGGGAGGGAGGGGGCATTGCCAACCCCCACCCCCACCCCACCGCCAAGAGGCCCTCACAAGGCAACAGGCGGTTTGCAGTCTGAAGACCCCTCTCTGGAAGCTGTTCCCTGGAAATCAGCAGAGCTCCCCCAAACATTGGGAGCCACACCCAGCCTGTCCTTTTCCTTATGCTGAACCCCCACAAAATACACAACTGCTGGGGATCTGGAAACATTTGTCCACTCCTTGAGACTTTAAGACAAGGGCCGGGAACCAGACACCCAGCCATGGACTCCCCAACGTGTCCCAGGGCAATGCCCAAGTACAAGTCCCCCAAACCCCAAACTCATTAAAAAACATTGTACAGACATCCCCAGGTGTCTGTACAGTAACCCTGAATTGGATGTTTCTGGGGCCTGGAGGCGAAAGCGCTGGATAGAAGATTGTAAGAACTGGGTATCTTTAGTTTAATGAAGAGAAGGACCAGGGGTGACGTGAGAACAGTGTTCCAGTATCTGAGGGGCTGCCCCAAAGAAGAGGGAGTCAAGCTATTCTCCAAAGCCCCTGAAGGCAGGACAAGAAGCAATGGATGGAAACTAATCAAGGAGAGAAGCAACCTGGAACTAAGGAGAAATTTCCTGACAGCGAGGACAATTAACCAGGGGAACAGAAGTTGTCTCCAGAAGTTGTGGATGCTTCATTGATGGAGTTTTTCAAGAAGAGACTGGACAACTATTTGTCTGAAATGGTCTTTGGCAGGGGATTTGACTAGATGATCTCCAAGATTCCTTATTCTGTAATTCTGCGGTGCTTTTGTCCACAAACTAAAGCTACCATGATCAGCAAACCACCCCATGCCATGCTCAAAGGCCTGAGCAGGGCAGAAGGAGAGGCTGGGCAAGGCCGCGGGCATAGCAGAGGCCTCCCTCAGCAGACAGAAAGTCGCCCTTGTGAAGATGGTGGTGGGTGACATGGAGGGAGCCGAGAAGCTACTCTTGGCCCCACATTCTTCCACATTTTCTCCCCAGATTCCCCACCAACCTATCGATGCCATGCTCAGAAAGGATGGCCTTGGGCTGCATCCGCACAAAATCTCTCCAGGAGCCCCAGAGCATTGCCCACCCTCTTTCTAAGATGCACAAACTGGGGGGGGGGAAGGGTCCCCAAGCAAGGCAAGGAGAAGGTCAGGTTTCATGGCCTCTGTACTCCGCCCTTTGGCCATCAGCAACAGACCTGGCTACAGGAAAGGGCCACCCTAAAAGCAGTGCCATCTGCCTCTCAGGAAGACACCAGCTCAAGGCCAGAGCGGGCATCGGCCTGGCCCATCGCCTTGCCCACGGTGCCCGTCTCCTTCTGGAGCTTCTGTGCTCTTGAGGATTCTTGTGTGTGATCTTCCTAGGGACCACTGACCGCTCGTGTGCCCGCCTCCTTGGGAGGATGGCATGAGCGACACAGTCTGCGCAGTCTTGTCTTTCTCGGCTCCACACTTGCAGACGGACCCCCACCCATTCTAAAGCAGATTCTTACAACCAACCAGAAGACAATTAGCCCAGCATGGGAACCGGACCCTGCAATAAGCCTGGATGTCTAATTTGCCCCCTTGGCTCCACCCACAGCTCCACCATGAGCCCCAGCCAGGGCATGCACACAATTGGAGGGGACCTCACGTGCCCTTCCTCTCACACCCTGTATGCCTTCCTCTGCCAACAAAGCATCCCTGGATTCTGCCCAGGACAAACAGCAAACTTTGAGCACACAAAACAGTGTGACCATTTCTGTCTGATGTCACGTGACTCTCTTGCACGGCTGTCCTGTTTGCGTATGTCACTTGGTGTGTCCGAGCTGGAATCTTGAGCTGCGGAATCGCAATCTTTAGATCTCCACATGTATCCCGGTTGTGATTAGTGTATGGAATGTGCGTCAACAACAGTTCCAGGTTTTGTATGTTTCTCTCCTGTGGGAAGATAGCAGGCACTGAAGGGTACACGTTGCCATTATGTAAAAACAGAAGAACTCTATAAAACCATAGATTAAATAAATTACAAGTTATTTTTATGATTAGCAGCCCAAAATCTATAAGATACATCCAAATGTGTTCAGGAAGCAAAATCTTTGTTGTCACAACAAAACCTGTTGAGGGAAGGCAGGGAGCTGGGTGACATATTAGGGTGAGAGCAGTTAAAATCTAAGCATCACCACAAATGCAGCCCCAGGGCAGGGGTGATCACACAGACTGAGTGGGCGAGGGAGGGAGCGTCTTCCATCCAGTCATTGTTTACTCCTAGCAACCATATAGACAGATTTTTTTTTCATAAAAAAAAAAATTCTGATCTTTGAGGTCTTCCAATGCAGCGCCATCTCCAGTGCAACTGCGCCCATCTCCCTTGCTGCCAGCCATCCTCTCCTTCCACCTTTCCAGAGGTTGGAGCCTTTTCTAGAGAGAGAGAGAGAGTGTGGTCTTTACACAATGTACCCAGAATTGAGCCTGGTCCTTGGTGCCTCAAGTGGCTTGCTTGGCCTGATGATCCATCTGTTTGTTTTCTTGGCTGTCCACCCTCTTCTCAAGAGTCTTCTCCAATGCCAAAGTTCAAAAGCTCCAGCATCTTCAGGTCCAGCATCTTCTGGTCCAGTTTTTTCAGGTCCAGCTTCCGCTTCCATGCAGGGTCACAGGGAAGGCCAGGGTTGCATGGCTCCGACCTTCGTAGGACCAGACCTGCAATTTAGCGAGAGACCAGCCCCGTAAAGCACGTTCGGTTGCTGTAACTGGGCCTGCGCAGTGCCTGGAGACTTCTGAGGGAAAGGGCTAAAGAGAAGGTGAAGCTTCTGGCCAGAGCAGAGGATCAAGGTCCTTGGGGCCCTGGCATCTCACCTGCTCGGGAGCCATCTTGCTCCAGCCAGCCAGGCAGCCTCTCTTCTGTGATATCCACCCGGCAACGTAGCGTGAGCAGCTTCACCCGCACAACCTTCCTTCCATTCCCCACGTGAACCACCCCTGAGAGAAAATGTATGAATCGGCTCCCACATGGGACCGTCCTGGGTTGCAGGACTTGAGCCAGGCTAACTGGGAAGCCTCTTCCCAACACCGGCCCTGTCTGAACTACAAGAGTGCTCTGTGGAGCAGGGGCACCCCAGTTTTGCTCTGGGGGAGGGAGGAGGCCGGCTACCCTGCCACGGGTTTCCTCTGGCCCCCTCCCGATCCTCTTTCAGGAACCAGCGACCCCCCTTTGAGGAGCTGAGACCACAGTGGACAATGAGGAGGTGCCTGAAGTATTGGCAGGGCAGGAGCTTCCGTAAGTAAAAGCAGCCCAGATCTTCTGAGCCAGATCAGCAGTCCAGCAGGTGGGGACAGGTGGGCAGACAGCCACAGCCTGGTTTCCTCCAGGGTGGGATTTTGGCTCCGCACTCTGTTGCCCACCTTTGCCTGCTCTGGCCGGGTCCCTCTGCAGGGCTGGCCACTGCGCCCAGCCTCCGCTTTGCCAACAGGTGTGGCTGGCTGGACTCAGCCCAGGATCACAGTCCCCGTGTTCTGACAACTGCCTGCCGCTCTCCACGG